AACTGATATGCCTGACTGTTGCCTGCCTCTAACTGATATGTCTGACTGTTGCCTGCCTCAAACTGATATGTCTGAATGTTGCCTGCCTCTAACTGATATGCCTGACTGCTGCCTGCCTCAAACTGATATGCCTGACTGTTGCCTGCCTCAAACTGATATGCCTGACTGTTGCCTGCCTCTAACTGATACTATGCCTGAATGTTGAAACTGCCACAAATGTTGAATTATTCCAAATTGATGATAAAAAAATTACAGAATGGAACTTGGCCCTTGGGCAGCATGGTGTACTTTTGTGTTTCTATTTGTGTCTGTAACTTGTTATTGGGTCAGATTTCACTCTATTACTTCAGTGTTGGACTAACATGACCAAATAAGAAGGCTTCATTGAGTGATATAAGGTTATGTAATATTATTTTACTCAACCCATCCTTATCATCAGGCTGCAGTTGATATGCCTGATGATTAATTTATTAATTTTCAGCTTTCCAGATCACTCTAACAAATGTGCTAAGTCTTATCTCCATCATCTTCTGAGTGAGATATTTGTAGTTTAATCCAGTTGCCAAAGATGCTTCATGAACATACGGTATTTTGCTTGTAATGTTGATTCCTTGATCTTGATCATAACTAAATTATAATTTAGTTATGAGTAGTAGTAGAACAAAGGATAATTATCCTCTGTTCTGTATACTTATACTGTTTCCATTAGAAATATGGCTTGTAAGGGTCATAATTTATTACATTATGTTAGTTTTTTAATTGGTAATCAATATATGTTTCTAATAATGGAACAATTTCAGGCCCCATGATGCCGGCTGTTGGGATTCCCATGGGTCAGGTAAGACATGGTGTAGTTGCACTTGAGGAGGCAGCCAAAGCTTCTTGATATTCTCCCTCGCGCAACAAGTAAGAGGAGTTCTGCCACTGGTCTCATTTGCTACCAAACAATCACAAATCAATCAATTATATATGAGACTGAAGTACTTTTTGAAGTTGGAATCATTGTAGATTTGTTGCGAGTGTGTATGGATGTTAGTCAACTATTGCCTGTGTGAGTTTTACATGTAATTTCTTTGCAATTAGGGTAGGAGCAGAGTACTTCATCATAAACACAATAATCTATATATTATAAGTTTATTATTTTCATATATAATATATAATTCATCATATTGCTTATTGTATAACTTCTTTCCATCATCAGCTAGTAGAGTTTGTTTATTCAGAAATTTTATAGATGTCTGAAACCCTTTTGCAAGTAACTTGTTTGTGGAGAGATTTCCATAGTATTTGGGATAATTTATGTCGTAATAATACTCCCCCCAACGTAATTACTACGTAATAATGTGTTAAATAATGAAATACTAACAAATAACTTGTGTATTACAGCCATTAGGTTCAATGCACATGGGGGGCAACTCAATGCAAATGGCTAACAGGCCCATAGGTCCTCCTGGCTCTATGGGCCCCATGGGAGGCCCCATGGGCATGGGCGGACCAATGCGTCACACCAACATGGGCCCCAACAACCCCGGCAGCATGCCCATGCACATGAACACCTCTGGTCCTGTTAGCTATGGCATGCGCGTCACCAACAGTCCTGGTGTTCTCTCCGTCACCAACGCTCGGGACAAGGCCGGTGGAGTTAAATCCACCACAAGCCTCAATAAACCTATTGCGTTCTCAAAGCGAGTTGAGAGCTCAGGCCCTGCAGTGACGGTCTTTGTGGGGAACATCACTGAACGAGCTCCTGACGTCATGATCAGGCAGATCTTGAACACATGTGGGCCTGTGCTTAGCTGGAAGAGAGTTCAAGGCGCCTCAGGCAAACTACAAGGTCTTTATTATTTTCAGTTCTGAGAAAGTAATGTTAATAATCTCGTTATTAATAATGCTGGCCTAGCAACTTTTTGGTGTACATTAAAAATGTATATCAAAATGAAAATGTACATTGAAAATGTACCTTTGTTTTAATTTTGCTCTTGTAAATTATGTTGGAAAATTATGAGGTACTTGCAGTGATTTTAAAAAAGATTACTGCCTCTTTTATTGTACAGATCACCTTTTACATTAGTCTTATTTTACCCTAGTTTAACCTTTTTATATTGGTAAGTTTGTAAACTAATTTTCTTGTGTTGCAGCTTTTGGGTTCTGTGAGTACGGTAACCCTGACAGCGCCCTACGCTCCATCAGGCTGCTGCACGACTATGAGATTGCTGATAAGAAGCTTGTAGTCAAGGCTGATGCTAAGACCAAGCAGCTCATTGATGAATACAAGGGTGAGACTTGCAACATTTACCTGGACTAAATCAATGTTGTGTTGAACTTTTTTTTCGGCTTTAGCTATTGCCTGCATTTAATAATTCTTTTAAAAATGCGATAGGAATAATTATATGTGCCGAAACTAGTAGAAAAATAATTGACTAGATGATATTTATTGAACTAATACGAAGACATGTGCTTCAGGCATCAAACTACAGCTACAGCAAAAACAAGTCATCTAGAATTAAGTTAAAACTCCAAGTGATATCTAGTTCAAAAGTCAACTGATTGGAGAGCTTGTTTGAAATTCAATGAATCATTATAATTTATTGTATGATGTAAATGTATAAATTTTCAGAAAAGCGTCGCAAGTCTCGTCAAAACGGCAGTGATTCCAAGCCACCCGGCGATGGCGAAGAGTCCAAGACAAACGACGACACCAAAAGCTCCTCTGAAGACTCCAAGAAGCCGGCAAGTCCATGTCATTTAATTTTCCTTGGTGGATAAGTGTTATGAAATGATTATAATGAACGTGAATGGTGAGTGCTATGAATAATAAACTTTATTTTAATCATTTAATTTAAATTAAAACATCAAGTGTTATGCATTCACTTGCGTTACGCAATGTTATTTGCAGAACCTGGATGAGATGAAAGTTATGAAATTAATCGAGTAATTAAATGTTATTTACAGAGCCTGGATGAGATGAAAGTATCTCGTGTTATGAAATTACTTGAGTAATTAAATGTTATTTGCAGAACCTGGATGAGATGGAGGACGTGGAGGAGGGCAAGAAGGAGCTTATCACGCGCGAGATCACGCAGTTCCGTCAGCAGATGCAGGTGGGCGCCAGGTTTTCTCTCGTCTTGTCTTTTCATTTCAGGTTTAAGAAACTTTGTGATATTCTCATTCAAATATGAAGTGCAGAAACGCTTGCACAAAGTACTTATGCGATTTACACTTCTAGTATTTTTTCTATTACTGGCTGAGGGAAGTTCATTAAGTTGATACTTTTCTCAGTATAGTATCCATACTTTGCAAAAAGAGCTCTATAAAACAGAGAAATAAATCATGAAGTTTGAATTTTTTTCTGGTTACAAATTTCAACAAAGAATTTCTTATTGGTAAATTGTATCGTTTTTTGCCGTTCCTGAGAATCGTTAGTTTGTACAGTAAAAGTATTTTATTTTCAATTCCGAATTGAAGACGATAGCGGCTGCAGTTAGAATGCTCTATGCCACATATTGATGAATAGATCGTGAAGCTTATGTAAAATAATCGCGGGTCGCTGGAGTGATTGAAGCATATGAGCGTCTGAAACAGAGTTTAGTCTGCTTTTTAATGTTTTTTGGACCGTAATGCACTGATGTTTTCAAACATAGGCATTGATAGAGTTCAGACGCAGCTCTACGCCCCCACTCATGTTTGTTGTGTGACAACTCCGGTGAGTACAAGTCTGCCTATCATTACTTATATTTACTCATTCACTCGTCATAATCATCGGTGTTTGTGGCACTCAGCTTGTCAGCAGAATTTTTATGCATATCAATGCTGCAAGTGATGAAAAACTTGAGGAAACAGACGAAATGCGTGAAATAATTTTTGAAGTTACATTTTGGATACGTATTTAAAATGACAATCTTGTGAAAAGTTACGTTTTTAATGTTGGGGAAAAATTTTTTTTGGTGTTGGAAAGACGTCAAATTTATCAGATTATTCAGACTTATGTATGAGGCGATGTTGCCAAAGACTCATGAAAGTTTAATTTAAAAATTTGTTGATTCTTCCTTTCTTTGAAATCATTGCAAGTACATTTGATTGTAAGCAAATTCTGCTGTATAGCTGGTGCCCAACAATCTAAATTATTTTGAAGCAGTTTTAGCCGCGATCATTTTTTGCCTCTTCGGACTTCTGCTGAAAACCTGCATGCTTGACAAAACAGTCTTTGCATTTCCCTGATAATATCTTCTAAATGTGAAGTCAATTTGTCAAGCTATGTAGCGTTCCTTAAAGCAGTGTTGCCATCGTTATAAAGATGTTTATATCTACTATTTTGAGGGCAGATATAAGTTTAGATGATAGTTTCTTGTGATTGCATGCATATCGCAACATGAGGCTACGCTCTATTTAACTACTTTTTTGTACATGGGTATCAAATTAATTCAGCTGTCGAGTAAATGTGAACTTAACCCAATATCTGTTCAACAACTGGGGCTCGTTTTTGGCTAGCTTCAAATATTTTTGTTAAAGTTAGACTACAAAATCAAAACTACCCTAAAATACGCCACATTCTACTATCCATCATCAAGATGCTGTAGTTTTCTGGCAAAAAAAAAACGATTAGGTACGTACTTTTCTTTTCGATTGTCCCTTGGATTGGATGTATGTAAAGTAACGAAGTTTTATCACACTAATATACTGGGGCTCACTAAGTTTCCCAACTTCCTGATGTGGAGCAAGTTACTAAAGAATTTTGCGGACATCATTTGTGCTTGTTATGTATTAAGTCTGGGGTTTAGGAAGAGTGCAGTTCTCAATGAAGGTGAGCATTGGTCTGCACTTGGGACTCACGTACGCAAGCAATGCTTGAGGATTTTGGCTGCAGCTTCTCATTGCTGCTCGTCGACTCCTGCTCCACGCTGCGCTGCTAAGGCACGGTAAAATCAGCAATAGTTTCACATAAATACTTCATTTGTGACTTTTTACGAATTTAAATTCGAATTATATATCTATTGTTAGACAGGGACTCGTATGCGTTACTTAAATACAAGATTTTGCCTTTGTTAACGACTTTTATTTTGGTATAAAACTGTAAATATAAGTCACTTTTGGTATAAGTGAGGCCAAATTCAGTGTCGTGTTCGTTCTTGATTTGATGCTTGTATTCGGCGTCATGAATTATTAAATGAATAGATTTTTTTGCGGTGCTAATAGGTTGAGTAACCCGATTCCTAATTAAGTATCGCGAGTTAAAATAATGTCTTGTTTTGGCCCTAGGCGTTGACAATTTTGTCATTTGTGTGTCGAGATTTATCTATTGGTTTCAAGAATTGAGTCAATGGCGACGTGCATTGGCAATTCGTACAAAATCTTCTCTCACTGTAGCTACAGTGTAGCTCTGTCTAAAGCCTCTTAGTGATGCTCACGCTGGCCATGATCCGTTGTGATATTTTTTCGACGACTTGATAATTTTTCTATATAACATGACTAATTGTAGCCCAAATCACGCTTCTATGAGTGTCGTACAGAGCGTATTACTGAAGAATATTGCACTAAAATTTGATGCATTCGCACGTATAATATCGTGTACGTGTGCATTTGTGCTTGCCCCTGTAAGTCATTTTACTTGCTCAAAAGTTTCATGTCGATCATTTGCCGTGCCATCCTAAATAATGATCCCGCTTTCTTTCCAGTCACAAAAATGTCTAACTATCTGGAAAAAACAGTCGCTGATCATATTCAAATGGCCGTTTAAGTTGAATTGAAATGGTTACCCTAGGAACTAATCCGATTATTTTCTAGAGTTTTTTTAGAACGAGTTATCCTGACGCTGTTCATTTGTTTCTTTGAATTGCAAGACTAGGCTTCACTTGTTGAGTTAAGCCGTACAGCTGATTCCGTATAATTGTTGCCACTGATTTTTTAAAATTACTTTTAAGAAGTGAGCTTAAATATTTTGTCACCGAACATGCTTTGTGTCGGTGAAAAAAGCTTTTGATCAATCTGATGATTTTTTGAACTTGAATCGGTTTTCACTGAGGGCTCAGAATGTCTATCGAGTATAAAATTAACTGTGATGTTAATGCATGGACGCCTCACTACTTTCTAGTGGAGTACAGAAACATCTCTTATTTTTATGTGTGTAACCTGGGGTTACTATTTATTGCTGTTATAACTAACATTGTTTGATTTCTTTTGCAGTTTTTTCTTTATGTCGTTAAAAATAAATCGAGAAGCTTGTTCACACAATTTCTGGATCGTGTTTTTGTCATCGACGAATGCTCTCAGACAGTTGGAAATGTCCGTGTATAATTTCACTGTCGAGAATTCCGTTGTTTTCATCTGGTGTTCCCACCATTTATTTTGTCTTCGATGTCATCCAATGGAGCTTGTTCTTCGGCTCACTTGCTTGTATTTCAAAGTGCTCTGTAATGTGTACCGTGACTTATGGTACTGTTTCTTCTTCAGAAACTTGAAGAAGAGAAGGAGAAGGAGCGTCGTCAACGTGAGAAGGAACGCGAGTCTACGCGCGACAGGGACAAGGAGAAGGACCGCGAGAGGGATAGGGAGCGTGAGAGAGAGAGGGAGAGGGAACGTGAACGCGAACGGGAGAGGGAACGTGAGCGCGAGAGGGAGCGTGAAAAGGAGCGAGAACGCGAGCGTGAACGGGAGCGCGAACGCGAGAGGGAACGCGAACGCGAGCGTGAACGTGAGCGAGAAGAGCGCGCGCCGAGCTCGCGTCGTCACTCGCGCTCGGTGTCGAGGGAGGCTTCAGTGAGCGGCGCGAGCCATCGAGCGCGGTCACCCGCGACGCCGGACTCTGCGCGACACCGGCGCAAGGAAAAGAGGTTTGTGGGGGACATGCATTATCCTTGAATTAGTTATGCTTAAAAGAGGGCGAAAATAAAACTAATTGGCTTTGTTGTAAACGAAATTCAGTGATTTGACCATGATTTTTTCTACTTTTTCTTAATTAGAGTATGAGTGCGAGACATTACGGAAACTGCATAAAATTGTTATTTTTATTTTTTCTTAATTTCGAAAATAAGAAAGTAAGAGCGGACACTGGTAGTTGATTCTTCAGCGAAAGATTTATTGGTTGTGAATTATTACTGTAACTAACTCATCACCAAGATTTATCGCGTAGGCTCGATGCATATCGACATTGGAGCCCATATTTTAAAGTAGCTATCAAATGTTCTTAAAATATTGTTCAGGTCAGCATCGCCCACCGCACGCAAGAGTGAGAAAGAAGCGTTAAGGGAGAAAGAAGAAGCCCAGGAAGAGAAAGAAAGGAAAGAACATGAGAGGAAAGTGCGCAAGAAGGAAATGCAGTATCAAGTGAGTACCCGCAACACTAGCGTATATATTCAAGGCCTCCTTTGAAGAAACCTATTTTTCAAATGAAGTGTCTAAACACTAATAGTGTGAGATCCAACAAACCAATATTGTTCAATGTCATAATGGTCTATCACACAAATGATTTATGGTATATTTTCTTGTGTAGTCTTCTACATGATTTTTTTGTCGTCCAAATGCTGATATGAAGAATAAATCACTTGTTTTTGTGTTGACCTGGTTGCCAAATCTATTGCATTTATGGCGAATTGCGGGGACTGCAAATTCTGCATTTATGGAATGCGTATCCCTCGTAAATTTTATCTTTAAATGGTGTAATTGAATTATAACGGCGCTAATAGCGATTTGTTGCTAATGCTTAATTACCTAGTTGTTTGATCCCTAAATGTATCTATACAAATCTCAGTGAAGCATCAGCCATAATTAAACATAAATTATTGTGTTGACTTTAGAAACGAATTTTTGTGGACTGCAGGTATTCGTGGAGGCTGCAAAGTGCACTGCAAATTCTGAGGCTGTCTAATATTTTCGTCATTGATTGTTGATTTTATTTGCAGGAGCGTCTGCGTAACTGGGAAACGAGAGAATACAAGAAAGCCAAGGAGCTGGAGAGGGAGAAGGAGAAGGACGAACTCAAGGAGCTCGAGAAGCAGAAGGAGGCGCGCCGACTCAAGGAGTATTTTTCGCCAATTTATAATAGTACAGCATCAATTGCCCGTCCTCGTTTCTAACGGTAAATTATTCTCTTCAGCATCTACATATTTGGCTTGGATTAATGCATGCTTCATTTTAAATTTTCTTATCCATGTATAATATTCTAATTGACAAGATTTGAGTTGATTTCATTTTCTCGCATAATTAATTTATTTCGATTATTTATGTTTAATAGATTAATTTGAGGAAGCGAGTTGATTTCTCACTTCTCTCATGAGGTGCCCGAATGTCACCGATTTAACCGTCTCTTATTTACTATATTTTTAAAGCTTGCACGTTCTTTTCTGTCATAGCAAATAGTCCTGAAACCATTTAATTTAGTAATCTCTTTTGACTAGCTACTTATACGGTAGTCATGGAATATATTTTGCAAGGAATAACATCACTGGATGGATGTTATAAATTGTTAAAACCGTGATGTTTCAATTTTTTACGACTGGGCAGGGGCCACGCTTTCCAGCGCAAGCTGTCAGACCGAGAGCTGGAGAAGGAGCTGGACAGCAAGGACCGCGCTAAGGAGAAAGAGGAACTGGAAGAACTTCGTAATAAAATCAGGGCTGAGGGCCACGAAGATCCCGAAGGTGCCTTTAAGAAGGTAAAATACCGCTACTTGATAAATGAACCGGTTCATTTTATAATACACCTGTTTATATAAAATTATGTACCTGCGATGATGCATTTTTAGCTGTTATCAGCAATATTTTGAAACTTCTATTCGTTATCGACATAAGTTATTGAAAATTTTTCTTTAATTTATGTTAATTGACTGACTTGAAAAATTTATTAGTGATTGGTTATGTTAGCGCTGTACTCGTGCTAGTCCAGTTTTACATTTTTGAGAAGATATAGTTTTTCAGTGGTTTTCATGATGTAGTTAATGGATTTTTTTCCCCCTGCACATGTCCACAGAAAAGTAGATACCGGTAGGCTAAACCAAATAAATATTGTAAGAAAATGCAGGTAAATATTTAATGAAATCAGATCAGGTGAAATTAATTGCACCAAAAGACCAAAGTTGAATGTTCGCTTCAATATGTGCATTTGAGAATCATCCACGCATTCGGTACAGAAACTTTCTCTGAAAGCTTAGTGGGGTCTTATAATTGAAGGAGGGCTTCGAAACGTTTTGCATTCGCGTTTATTCTGATTTAAATCTTATATTAATCAACAAATGGAACGTTTCTAAGAGTAGAAAGAATAGCATAGCCTATGATGTGTCCCGCGTGATTATCAATGCAGCTGCTTTGTCAACTAATGTTATGAATTATATTTACACCGAATGGTCGCTGAGGCGCAGTGCCAATGGTACATAGTTGGTTATTACAATTGTTAATTTGTTTGATACTCTTCACGCCTGATAATTTGACCAAAAGTAATGAACACATTTATATATACAGTTATATATTTTTACAGGCTTGCGAAGAACGCGATGCGCACTACAAGCCAGTTCCCATCATTCAAGTCACCCAGAAAGTCATTCACGTCGAGGATATTTCTGAATCTCCTCCTCCTCCGCCACACGATTCCGATTCCTTTAGCCTCAGGCAATCGGATGNCCTCCTCCGCCACACGATTCCGATTCCTTTAGCCTCAGGCAATCGGATGCTAAAGAATCCTTATCCCTACAAAACGCCGGGGACTCGAACCTCAGCTTTCCTCCTAGCGTTCTGGGAGGGGAAGACTCTTTGGACAGCAAATCATCCTTACGATTCACGAGTCTTCGATCTCCACCCACTGACGGAAATTCTCTGCCATCCAACAATGCACAATCATCTATATTCCCTCAGTCCGAGGACGATATGTTCTCGAAGCAAAACGCATCTTTATTGCCAGCGTCAGCACCCGCACCATCTGCAGCTCCTGCTGCTGACAAGCAAGGCTACAGTTCCGAGTCTGATGACGGCGACCAGCACTTCGACCGCAGCATGCCTGAGCCCGAGCCCCACGATGATCCGCCTGTGTCTGGTTCGTATCAAATATGTACTTGAAGTTGATCGTTTGTTGAGCTATGAAGCTTCCTGCTATAAATATACCTTGAATTCAAGTCGAGTTTTAAGCAGTACATTAAAATCATATGCGAATCGAAGCTTTATATTCTTAGGTTAATGATTTTTAGTCAGAGAAATGTCCATCAGTTTGTACTGAAATGTTACAGAGGTTCTAGCAGCTGTCATTCAAAAATACTCTCGATAAACTATCAGTTGTTGAACATAGACCATAGTTGAGTGTTGCTTCAGCTTTGTTTAGCTTTCGTATGGTAACTAATTGCTGAACTGTTTCGTATTACTACCATTTTTGTGTGTTCTCATTAAGAATTCCTGTTATTCAAAATATGCTCGCTCTTATCATGTTTTCAAGGGCTATCAAGTGTCTATCTAGTGTTACTGTCACCCAAGTCATGTTGAATAGTAGAGTTACCTTTATTTTTTATCACAGAGAGGAACGACTCTAATCCACTGCAACCACCAAAGAGAAAGAAAATAGACATCAAAGACGTGTTTAACCAAGACGACGAGGACGCGCCTGTCAAGAAGCGCAGACTGCCGTTGCCTGGCAAGGACAGATCAGGCGGCGCTGGCAAGGAGAAGGGCGGGGAAGACAAGCGCCGCAATATTAAGAACCTCATCGACAGAATACCTACCACCAAAGAGGAGCTCTTCGCCTACCCTATTGATGCTTCGCTCGTTAATAATGTGAGCTCAACCAAATGCACAACCGGAAACTGATTAATCTTGAACAAAACGCTGATGGAAATTCGGCTCGTTATTGAGTAGTGAAACATTCTGTCATTTGATTTCAATCTTGACTTGGGTTAAAAATTGAATTATGGAGTGGTTATTTGATGCAAATATCTTCGCTGGGAGATGCGGGAAATTTCCGTGAAGGAATTTCAGGGAAAGACACCTTTCACTATGGACTTGCATTACTTTTCTATCTTGGCCGATAGTTCTACAAATTTGAATATATAATCCACATTCACTTTTGGTTTTCAGCGTAGCCTTAAAAAGGATTGATTGATGATTATTCAATACTATCGAACTTACCTGATTTTGACCGAATGGTCTTGCAGGTGCTGATGGAGAAGCGGATCAGGCCCTGGATCAGTAAGAAGATCGTTGAATACATTGGAGAGCCGGAACCAACATTGGTTGACTTCATCTGCTCAAAAGTGCTGCTCGGCTCTGAGCCCGAAAGTTTGCTCAACGATGTACAAATGGTGGGGGCTACTTTTCTGTTCTCATTTGAGTTTTATTAAGATTGAGCTCGGTTTGTGTATTTTCAAGATAGTGGATGATTTCTATCTTGGTTTATTTTTACATATTCCATAGTTGTGGTATATCTTGATTGTCAATTGTCATATATTTTGAGGAAAAAGTCGATATTTTTAGTTCTGTTGCACCAGCTTCAGCAAGGTAAGCAGCAATCGGGACGCACGCATCTTGACGTTGGGGTTTTGTATTGCCTTGTACTTGGAATGTACATCAGCTGTTTTCGATAAATTCAAGTTTACCAATATTTTCTTTCTTCTTTAATTTGTCAAGTGCAATATTCAATGCATGCAATGTTATTTGGTCGGCAATATCGACCACTATATAGTATATACTCTGTTTTGTACGAATGCATTTTTATCAGCAGTTAACGAGCATTTCAAAAAGATCCGGCATTAATGTTCGTTCCATTTATCTTCCCGTTTCCCTCATCACTGAAAAAAAGAGCACGAAGAAATTTCGTGTCATTCCGACAATTTATATTGACAACTTTTTTTCAGGTTCTGGACGACGAAGCTGAGGTATTCGTGGTAAAAATGTGGCGGCTGCTCATCTATGAAATCGAGTCTCAGAAACAGGGGCTTGCCAAGTCATAATAACTGACACAATTCGACAAGAACTCCTAGATTTTTTATTGGTTCCCGCCATGCTTCACTTGCTGGTGACTGCGTTCTTGTTAAGTCCGTTTCTTGAGCGAGCTAATCATTCGTGGGGCTCACTTGTGCCTCAAATATATGAAGTTACGTGACCATAATGAATGCTTGTTGAAAACCCCTCCATCTTGTCATATGAAAATTATTTTTATTCATAAAACATTCTGTTAATTGTAATTTTTTTAGATATACTGTCAAGATACCGAGTATCTTCAGCTACCTGTGTTGTCATTGAACATTTATCACTGCGTCACTCCCGTTAATTCTCATCCTGAAATTTTCATTTTTATAGGCTGATACGGATGAAAATAAAAACTTTCTAAATCGTTCATTTCTTAAAGCAATGATGTTGTAGTATTGTATGAAAGTAATTAGATTGTCACTGTGCACGCTCAGTCATTCCGTTCTTCGTTTATGTTTTTCGTACCTCTTATAGGCACCTGGTCCCCTACCACAACTTTCGTTTCGGCAATATTTAATTGTGCTTCGAGTAAAAATTTTGATTTTGAACGCTATCTACTAAACTGTTAATGACCCTAAAATAATGTTTCTATTTGCTTTCGGACTCTGTCAAATATTAAAACTCAATTTTGGAAGTATCAATTTTTTCTGAATCCATGCGTTGCAAAAATTCATACACGAGTTTCTTGAAGGTATTAGAAGAAGCACAATATAAGAATGTATATTGTAAATTGCTATTTTTGCAAAGATGCCACCTAGGCTATGAAATCATTCCCCTTTTCAATCCATTGAAAGATCACTAGTGCAAAAAGTCAAATCTTTATTCAACAGCTCATTTCGAAGTCTACCTTAATTAATGAAATGGTCCACTCGATGGTCCATCGGTATACCGTTTCGATGATTGTAGGTCGATGTCAATCTCACCTTTCATGTAGATTCTCGGGAAAAATACAGGCAAAAATTCAGTCAAACGACGTTTCTCAAATCAGAAACGGATAATATTTTCAAATAAGTTGCTGGTAAGCTGGAGGTTAACCGAGGTTAACTCTATGTGACAAATTTTTGTTAGTCGTTGCATAAATAACGATATAACCGAGTTGAAACCGCTGCATTCCGTTCCAGCAACCTAAAACCTGATTTGCGGTGTTCAAAACATGAGTGCTTTTTAGCCGGTAACTATTTCTTCTGATATCTATGCATGCCACTAGGTCAATGACATCTTTCTCGTAAACATGGTTCAAGCTAATATTCCTTTACTTCGCTTCCAATCCTGACAAGCTTGTCTTGGTTTGCCTACGCTATACTGACCAAGGTTGAATTAGTATAAAACTATAAGGTTGACCCATCAGTAGCCCATTTTTGCGGATGTAGTACGTTGTTCGCCTGTGACGTCACTGATCTCAGTGACGTCCCGTGCAATCACCGAAATGTGATCAAACCAGTCAACCAATCCGTCAGGGGAATGACGGGTTTGTTTACGTTTCTCGATCTCAGTGACGCTACAAGAAAGCTGAACTGAAAGACGGAACTTCTCGTGGGTCAACCTTATATAGTTCAACCATGACACTGACAGTGACGTCAGTTGCATACAAGCCCAAGCCATGAGTTGTCAATCCATTATCTACATGAAATCATAAAAACGAACGAGCATTTTAACTGAGTGTGTGCACTTGATTTCAGTTTTCCACTTACGAATCTGTAGATTCGTTTTTGTATAGGATTATTTGTATTTATTTTTGTTAATCAAGTCCTGAATTCATAAAGTATTCCAATACGATCACTCGTCTCTCGAGGGTTATGATGAATGAATGATTTTGTTTGTGTACCAGCCTATTCGAGAACACAGAACGCTCTGTGTTCGGTTAGCTAATACTACCCGTCTCTAGGCTTGTATTAAAATCGAGTGCAAATTCAGAGTTTCAATTAATGACCTGCTTCAATTACCTGTCATGTTTTGCGCCTGTAATGCGATTGCAATATAATTAGATTATTATTTGCATTTCATAACTAATTCGATTTAAAAAAAATCGATCCATTCTTTAGCTTGTAAATTCGAAAAAAAAAACTATCCAAACAGCGATGCACTTGCCCTTGTGTGGGCCATTTTGACCCAACTTGGCCAAGCTAAAGATCGTATCTGTGGAAACTGCAGAAAGTGTTGTACCAATTGTACAGTATTACCCAGTCATTTTTCCCGGTGAGGGTTAGCATAGTGAGCCCCCACACCTTTTTTTAGTGAGCTGTTCTAAACTGGCGACCGTCTGGTCTTTTTCTCGATGCGCCTATGAAGTCATTTCTGTTTCGTGATGCCAAATTTTAAGGCTCATCATTGTTTTCTGGTGGCAAATGCTGCCATGCCTATGCGTGCTTCTCAACTTATTTATGTTGACAGTCTGACGACGGGAAGCAACTGCCAAATGATACAATGTAACTGGCTAGTCTACAATATTAAAAATAATGTCAGTCTTGATTCCGTTTATTTCAAAACACACGAACGGGACGAAGTCTGGATGGCTTAATTCTTCTGAACCTTGAAAATTTTCGTATGGCTCAGCCGTGCATATGCATGCAAATTTTCTATAGTTATTGGATTTTCATATGCAAGAGAAACGCTCTTTTTCGTTCCGTCCTAAGCCTGGTTTAAATTCATGGAACTTAGTCCATGTTGAGCGTTTTGAAAGGCACGAGAATATGAAATATCAAGACATGATGTAATTTCAGGAAAAAGTTCACTTCGAGAGGTGAAATTTTGAAACTCGATATTGATTGATGACTTGTTGACTTTCCATGAACCAATTGAGTGAATCTCTAACTTGATTATGTATGTATCGTTTCTTCAATCCAATAAGTTCTATTTAGTAAATGACGATGTAGCGTTAGTCGTAGCCCATGAGGTCTCCCATCGCAGCCTGCCCCCATATGAGCGCCAGCATTTTATCGTCCTCGTCGACCATGTCGTTGGCGTCTTCGGGAGCCGAGAAGTCGAACTCGCTGCTCTTGGCTCTGAGATCCTTCTTGAGGCACGCCATGAGCTTCTTCTGTTTGTAGCACTTTAGGAAAACCTTGAAGCGGATGTGTTGCGGAGGAGAGGGCACTAGGATGTTGTCCGTCTTGATGCACGTCTGTTAGAAAAGAAAAACTTGTCCGCAATGTAACAAGATATCTGTACCGAAAAACGGTAATCTGAACATCAGACTCATATCATTCAATAACTGACTAAATTATAGTTTGAATGCTGAATTTGAAGCTTCCCGAACAACATTCTCTCAATTGCAGACAAAAGAAATTTTTTGTTGTTGCTGAAGAGGTAGATATAACTGTATAAAATAAAACTTGTATGTCATACGTACGGCAACTTGCTTGCACAACTGCACACTCTCCAGGAGATCTTCTTGTACTTGTAAGTCAAGGCCTTTGATGTTCTTGATTTCGTTTGTGATGTTTTCGTACAAAAGTTCATCTGATGCGTCGATCTGATTTTATCAAAGAAGATTATTTTCATTAATTCACACGCGGAACAATCCAACAATTGGGATGATTACTTTTCGGAAAGAATTATGGAATGTACGTAGTAAGAAATCATCCATCTAATAACAGCGGCTTTATCATTCTGATGATCTAGCGTCCTTAATGAGTTAATAATTATATCCTTGAATTATATGAAACGTTGGAAAAATTGGATCGGAGCACCTCAAGGTCTATCGAGGAACTATCATCTCAGTTCATGTCAATTGCATTACAGTAACCTAATGAAGTAAAGAAACCTCTTTGCTTTCGACTAGTATATAACATAATAACTTTAAAGCTGAGATTTAGTTTTAAGTCAAATAAATCTAACATTTATAATCCGTGTTAAGTTTTGAGTACATCTATTTCATAACAGGTTTGCACTTACGAATCCAAGTTCTCTGAAGACGCATGTCTTGTTGGAAATTTTGGCGACGAGCTTGCGACTCAGAGATCGCACCTTGTCTTCCGTGAAATACTGGTAGTCTCCCTCGGGCACCTGTGGCATTACAATGCTTGTCGTAAACTTGTTTGTCTCGCGGACGGTTTTTCCGGAATTTTTATCAATAAAAAAGAATATTGTTCAAGCTATATTCGATTTACAATGGATAGCTATAGTGACATGAATTAGAGTGTAGAATTCAATACAATTATTTGAAGGGTGGCAGTGCTAAAAAAATGAATAGTCAATCAAAAGACGACATATATTCGCACGGAATCGAAAATTATTACATTACAATTGTCCCTTGTTTAATAAAATGTTAGTCAAGGCATCCAATGATTGAATTTGCCTCTGTAAATTCACCTTAGCGACTACGGGGTCGCTCCCAGCGTTGGCGTTGGCTACACCTTTGTACTCCACCGGTTTTGCTTTGCAGATTTTGTAGGCATCCCGCACTTTATTCTTAGTTCTCTTGGACTCCTCCTTGCCCATGCAATTCTCCATCATCTGTACGAATGAAGAAAATTTTTGAACGCAGAGTTTTAATTTAAGCAATGAAATGGAGCGATGGTAATCAGAAATTTCAAATATAACTCGGAATTTGTGACAGCAATAGCCTTGCTCCTACGTGTGTCCATGTGAAGGTATTTCAATCCTACAAAAACACGGCTAATATTTTATTAGGCTTTCCTTGACAACTTTTAGGTTTAGGAAATTAAATATTGTTTTGGACTTATCAATCATTTTAGTTGTCAATCATTTTTTATTATCAATCATATTGTTTTTGGACTTATCAATCAATCAACAATCAAGTATTAAAACTAAATTGTAGATACAATTTTTGTGAAACTTCATATGTAAATAAATTTCCTTATCTTAAGCTACAAGTTGCTCAGGAATGATTTATTTTACCTTAATTTTCCCATATTTGAGGACAAGATCTTGCTCAATAGAGGAAGCTTTGACGTAGGCAACCCCGGCGAGCAGCGCGAGAACAACGACAACTTTCATAGTTCGTAGCGAGGTGTCACACAACTGAAGAACTCGTACGTCTGGTATAAACATCAAAGTTTCACGTAAATGATAAATACCCTACATTTTCTACAGTAAATTAAGCAGTAATATGACTAAATGAATGATAAGTCGTTAATAAAATTTGAATAGTCATTTCAATTGATTAAAGGTTTAGCAAATATTGGGGAAATTTTCGCGATTGTTGTACTCTTACATAAATTATGAGTTCAAAATTGTACGAAAGAATCCCATAAGAAAATTTTTATTTTTCTTATGGGATTAATTTTTTCCTTTTTATTATAAGTTCGAATCAAAATGTTTAAACATTGAAGCCATTTGTGGCAATGGTGCAAAAAGGCAAGATGCCAAGATTTATTTTTTAATATTTTTGATGTTTTTTTCTAACTTTAACGCAAAAACAACCTCTTCACCTCAATGAAGAACGGAAAAATGCACCAACATGGTTTCCAAAGAGCTGGATAAATCCTAAATTAAAAATTATACAATGCACTAATTCAGAAACTTCACGCGCGAAAATCAATATAAAAATGAATTTACCATCGGTCTGTTAACGCAAAAATAATTTTAACGTCTGTCATCGTAATACGTACCTCGAAAGATGACGCTCAAGTGCAGCTGCCTGATGGCTCACAACATTTTATATGCACGGTTTTGCGGTACGCTCCTCCCAAATGCGGATGCCCACACCGCATAGGGCGGAGTTTTGCGAAGGCTATTTCTTGGATTTTAAAGTGCTGGTCATGATTGCACGCTTAATTTAGGACTCTGGACTGTGAGCGGTACTTAGGCTTCTTGGAATGGGCACCCAAGGGCACGCACGGGCAACCGAACAATGAAGGTTGCGATTGTATAATGAATTTGCATGGGTCCGGTTCTTGACCCTGAACTTCCACATGCAAATGCGCCGCTTTCTTGAATAAAACGTTCTCCCTAGCTAATAAATTTACATATTTTAGGTTTTTGACTCATTGTAAGTTCGATACTCTTTTTTTCAGTAACTTTGCCAGAATTTAATGCGTGGATGATGAGTATTAGTCGGATAATTTCGGGCTCCATGGTGTTCTTACGGAAAATTACCTTCCATCGTAAAAATTCCCTCCTTTGTTTATGGCCTAACATAAACTACAATTATTTTACTCGTTCTACTATGTTATTGAAGCAATTTTCAAAATTTTATTCATGTCTTAGCAACTTATAAATTCAAATGGCTGGTCTGCTCAGAAAAATGCTAATCAGTTGCGGAAGGGAAAAGGACGTACGAATGTTTTTACCAACGTATATGGCGGATTTCACCCGTATATTTTCTTGAATCACTTGATCATATTCTTGCAACTGTCTTCCATAATGCAATGATCTATAGAATGCCATTATCTATTCAAATTATGAAGCAAAGAGCCAGTTCTTTAGTAAATAGTCATGCTAATTGATACCGGAATTATGAGATTTTGCAAACGCTGTTAGTTCTAAGACTCTAATTAACCTTCCGGTTGTGACTTTTTGAATTGCAATATAACTTGCATATGCGGGTTCGATGCCATAATAATCATCGAATGAAATTTTGTAATTGGCCAAATCATCCCGCGCAGATTTTGGTTCAATGTGTTGTGAAACTCGCTCCTGTTAATAAAGACCAAACAACAAATTGAAAAAAGTATAACAAATTCTTGTAAGACCCTTTACTGAATCTGTTGCAAATCAACCAGCGTGCCATATTCTTTTATGCCATTATACATATTTGTTTATATGTATAGAAACTATCGAAATGGGCATTATTATTCTAATTAAATTCATTAGGCTCTCCATAACTCTTCAATTATTATACATATAAAAATTAAAACTCGTCTTATTGGGATCGAAGCCGAGCGATCTCTTCACGTTTTTTTTCGTTGGGGTTTCACTTCTAAGAAACGATTAAAATGTTAAGTTGACGAAACATTGAAATCAGCTGACGCTGGGTGATTTTATNCGATCTCTTCACGTTTTTTTTCGTTGGGGTTTCACTTCTAAGAAACGATTAAAATGTTAAGTTGACGAAACATTGAAATCAGCTGACGCTGGGTGATTTTATTTTACCTTAATTGAGAAGATTAAATTTAGTCGAGTTTATAGGTTTACAGTTTTACAGTTTTTCTGTTTCCACGGACACTTTTGACCGCTGATTATATCAAGCGAATATCGGAAAATAATTCCCATGCGCGCACATTTTTCTCGTTATTTCGTTCTCAATTTTGTAATGTTTGTTATTTATATTTTCTATTTTATTGTCTAGATGTTCAAGGGATTTCTTGCATCATGTCTCTCTATTTATGCTTTGTAAACAATAATTGAGAGCGCATTACAATAACTTTATTGAGCAATCGCACATAAGTATTTTCAAATATTAGATATTTCCATTGTTTTGGCCCGCAAAAGACAATTGGCGAACCGATGCATTTCTTCTCGAAGCTCTTCATTATTTTATTCTCTGCGACCTGTCGGGATGAAGGATGGCCACAAGATTATCCTCATCAGGTTTAATAATTGCCCCAGAGCCACGGCTTCCAAAAAACAATCGTGGAAACCGAACTACGTAGGATGAGGTGTTATGTAAGACCAGGCACTAAACACCTCAAATTATCATATGCATTTTAGATTTTAGTCATTTTTAACCTGGAATGTGATTCAATTTTTGGACGTGGTAGTTTAACAGCATATATTAACGACCTTTTATTCCAACGCATGTGAGTGTAATATGTTTTTTTTTCATCATGATGCCCGAAAAAAAGTAGATTAGAAAATGATCTCTTGGCTCCCACACTTGGGGCCTCCGAGACCACTTGACATAACCGCTGAGTCATCGTGCTTTACTGCAGGTTATTCTCGGATGGAATATTAAGCAATCGATTCTTTAGACGCATATAAAAATAAAATTACGTGGTTAACAATTCCCAGGTAAAAATTCAAATAGTTGGTCCTGGAAAACTTATAAATAATAATTTAAAGAACCAGTTTAATAACATGTATAACAAATTAGTTTGAAAATTTACCATTTTATTACACCATAGTTGGACGTACCATGTTTGTTAAAACCTTAAAAACAGGCTTAAACAAGCATGGTGCAACAGGCCTTATTTGCATCTTTAGATATTAATTAATCAATTAATCAAAAAGGAGCGTTTAATGCTCCAGCTCGTCTCTGGCCTTGGGCACCCAGAAGTATTCTATTAAGCATCGAAAATTGCGTACCTTATAACGTGGAATGAAATGAAAAACATGCGTTTAGTTAATGATTATCACACGGACATGGAGGAACCAATTGTGCGAGATAAATTATTCTCAAATGTTGGTTGCGTCAGGTTTAGAGTCGTACACGTCAGGATTTAATCCCTAGCTTATTTCAGTTTCTTTAGTTGCATGAGCGATTATTCCCGGTATTGGAGTTGCAGCGTCACGGTGACCAGACACAACTGTAGTTATATTGAGGCTCGTTGCCTTTGCGTTGTTAACATTGCAAAAGTGAGCTGTAGCTCCGGCGATCACGGCGCATTGAGCGGCAGGAAGGATAGATCAAAATTCCATTGTTCAAGCTTGGCATTAAATCTAAAATTAAATAGATATTTTATGAGTTGAGCAAACGTGTATATTCTTCATCGTGATTTAGAATATAATTTTAATAATAATTTCGACGGTAAAATAAAAGTATTGCTTCGCATGGCAAGATCTCCTTAAATTTGTTAATATTGTGTTTGCTTCTTGAAATTTATTCACACACTAATAATAAGGAGAGCGGGGGTTGTTGCATATTTTTCAGAAAACTTTAAAAACTTGACTTGAGCTATTAAGATAATAAAAGAAAAGAATGTTTATCCTTCTAAACTTCTTGCAGATCAAAATTGTTCTGACCGCTAGAGTCATTGTCATTAATTTGCCGGAATGGTAGGTCCAGCGATTTTTTTTGTGGGTGCACAAACTGCACACGATGATCAGGTTTGATATGGATATAAAGACACCTTGAAATGACCTTCTACATCGTAACCAATTGAATCTCTTGATTCTGGAGAACGCCCACATGCAATGGTCAGAAGTCTCAACTGACCAATAATAAGTTGGAACAAACCTGCGAATTTTTTCAAATTTTTTCACCATGGCAAAGTGGGAGGAGCTTGCTGATTCTCCTGTTCAGAGCCTGGGTATATAAACGAAAAGTTGAGCGGTTGCCGGACACTTGCTCATCAACTCTGGAGGTAAGTGGACACCGCATGCCAAGGGTTGAAATTATTGTGCTGTGAATTCACTGTTTCCAAAGAGTCTCTTTACTTTAAAAGATGATAAAAATCTGCAATTTGATCGAGCTTCTAATCACAGTTATTAGTTAGCTCTTAGTTCCATATTCTATTCCATAAAAGATTTTTTGTGGATTGTTCCTAGTTTCGTGCTGCGCTGAAATAATAATTTTTGGTGACTTGACAATCAATTGATAAAGAAAAAAATTAGATTGCAAAATTCCGGAAAAGTATTAGTATTATGGGCATTTTATTCAGTTTCAGTAATGCCGTGCTAAGTTATAATACGGGAACCCATTTAACTTTCATTTCAAAGAAATCAGTGCAGTAGAGAATGTAATGTCACCCACAGGCGACATGAAGCTGCTCACGGCGGTCTCAGTTCTGGCGTGCGTGGCGTTGGCGGCGGCCGGCAAGACTGGCCTCGAGGACTTCTGGACGCGCTATGGAGGCATCAAGGTGAATGATATTTGAATATTAATTGTTAACCATCTAATTGCTTTGCACACACCTAATCGTAAATGAATGAAAAGTGTACTGAGATACATTTGGCGAAAAAATATAATCATCAAACACATTTCTTAGGTATGAATCGATAGAGAGGGATAATCTATAGAAACGAGAATTGTCGTGCAAGTGTTCATAAACTGGTTAAGCTGCCCCGTTTTCACTATTATATTTTTCTCGTTATCATTAAATTAACTTCGAAATTAAACGCGTAGTAAAGGATTGCCAATTATTGCAGTCGTGTAAAGTTTGTAAATCTTAAAGTTTACTTCAAAACTGTAAAATGTTAAAGAATCACAATTTGCAGCCTTCCTTTTCTACAAAATACCGTAGTCAACCGTATAAGAACTGCACTAGAGACAAATTTTCACGTATACCGAAAAACGAATTTTATTCTAGCTTGGAATAAGTTAGTTATGACTGATGAGTTAGGCACTTTTATTCAATTCCCATACCTTTTTAAATTACCCTCAGGCATGTCCATGAGAGTTATGTGTGTAGCTAAAATAAATGCACTAATATTTCATTAAAAATAATGTATTTTTTTGAACGATTTGTCGAAATCGGGAACCTGCGCTGAATCTTTCACGAATTTCATTAATCCTAGTGGAGCAACGCCATCGTGCTAATATTTAATATTTTAAAGCACAGCGAGGTCAGTATTTTGGCCATAGTTTGCCAAACTCGAGGCGAGGAGGCAGATTTATTTGCTATAGGAATATCGGTTGCCTGTCGTGTCGCTGTCAGAGAACAGAACGGCATAGGAAAATTATTGCGAATGAAATGCATTATAAAAAGAAATGTTGCCAATCAACAGGGCTTAGTATTTCTGAAATGTCCAGCAGGAAATATAACTCAAAATAATAACGAGCTACAGGAATACATTGTTTATTTAATGTATTTATTACATGCTTATATAATAGCGTTCCGCTACTCGAATTTCATTAATTGATTTTTTTTTCAGAATTCTCGAACGGTTCAGCAACATGAAATTATCTGTGTGTTTATGTTTAATTTGATTGATTGATTGATTTTTATTCACAGAGGAGCTCCAGTTACAATTCAAAAGAAAAAAAGAAAAACATTTATAAAAATAATAGAGACATCCAAGTGAATGCCCATAAGCAGATAAGCTTCGCAGGCAACATAGGTGATTTAAAACTCTATTCTAATGATAAGGCAAAAAAGTTAAGAGCAACAGAAGGTTTCTAAATTAAACACATACAAGGAAAAAAGCCTCAAGAAAACTGATAACGGGATGTCACTAAAATTAAGCGTAACAAAGCAATATCAATATAACAGTGATTAAAGACGGGTAAAAACTTGAAATATAGAGTCAAAAATATTCAGAACCTGCATGACAAACGAAGTCAAATTAATACTGGTTAAGAGTAAATTTACGGAATTTCGTTTTTAAAAGTAATTTGAAACAATTTTTTTTAATCTTCATGCAATTCATTAAAATATTTGACGCAGTTGAAAACAGTACCGCTTTTTTCTACTTCCAGACGAACCGCTGGCAAGTTAAATAGTAACAGGCATTTATTATATATTATCAGAACTTTGTTTTTAAAACATCACGGAGATTATTAATATTCAGGAAATTAAATTTCTATGTGAGTAACAGGAAGTTACATTTTTATATAGTTAACTTGTTCTAAACGTTGCATATCATTGCTGTAATACAGTATTCTGATTAATTTTAGCGCGAGTTTGTTAGCTCACTCAGGAACAGTTCTATGTTTGTCTTGGTATTTTTATCTCGTTCACAATACATCCCTTTACGCTAAACGTATTTAACCAAAAGTTTTCCCCTGAATAATTGCTTTTATAAATGCAGCACGATAGCAAACTTTCAATTTCTAAATTTAAACAGGTATTTTGTACTGTATCTTTATGGAGGAGTAGAGTAATTCATCTTTGCCAGAAGCTTAAAAAAAGATTTTCACTAGATGACATTGTTTGCCTAGAAGTAAAAACAGAAATTTCAGTCAAACGTGTCAGCGATGAAATTTCTGTGATTTTTAAGCCTTTTATAAGGAATCTTACAAATTAAGTTCTGGAAAGTCTTTTACTTGCTGTAATTTTTAAACATCAGAGGATTTTTTTCGACCAAATCTTCAAAACCAATATATTTAATCCTTTGATATTTGAATATTTGTTTCAAAGTCCGCAGACCATCGATATAATTGTCGAAGTTTCCTGTTTTCTAAGATTGTTTTCTGCAGGCCTGTCTTTTTTAATCAATATATATTCAGCAGTTATTCATATTTTTGACCTCTATCTAGCATACGATTAATAAAACGATTGTAAATGTAATCAAATGGAAAGCATTATGGATTGCTCAATGTTCATCAGGCTTGCATTTGCGATGGGCAAAAACTTTGTGGGCACGAGAATTTGTTATTTTCAGCCAGAGTCAATCTGTTAATTCTTGTTATTTGACTCAAAGAGACGCGCTAAAAACTACAAAAAATATTCCACATTTTTCAGATCATGAAAAGTTGTCTTACTGAGGAGGGGACCAAGAAATGGATTGACCTGCTTCACAGAGCCCTGACCGATTGCAATCCATCCAGCCAAGGAAGCTCGGTTCCGGTCGACGCTGTTGAAAATGCAGACTGGGATGGCATTTTGGTGCGTGAAAATAAATTGCTTCTTGTGGAAATCTAAAATTTACGAAATAAATGATACATTTTAGGAATATTCACATGAATAAGTTGGTCTCATTGATTAGAACACCACGCTGCAACAGGAATACTTATTAAATCACGTCAAATTCTGCTGAACTTGTAATTAATGTTTGCATTCCTCTTCCACTCTCTGTTTAATAAATCTTCCTTTTTACTTTTTTACTTCCGATAATAGCATTATTATGATATTCGCGCCTAATTTACCCAAAATTTAAAATATTTATTCAAAATTACAATTATATTCCAGAGCGAAGTGGCTGCAAAACCTGACGCTAGGACGGTGAGTGATAATGAAGGAATTACCTGTGAAATACTTCTCTTCTTTCATTAATTTGTTGTTAAAGATGCGTTTTTGTAAGAAAATTACGGTCACCTATTACCAGTTATAGATTTCAACACAAGATAATCTTTAATATTGTGGAATTATATATTCAGCGATCTTATGAATGATTTACACCCCAACTTGTAAATGAGTTTTTATCAGTTAAAATGATCAGAATAAATATAAATCTTAGTGATATTCTTGTATTTTACAGCGCCGATCCATCGCCTACAGTGCAGAAAAAATCCGAAGAATTAAGGACAAACTGTCGCAGAAAATTGAGACGTTCAGATGCGTGATGCGAGCAGTTAAAGTGGTAAGTGATGTCGGCCCCCACCGTGGGTGATCGGGGGCTCGAAAAAAAAGTACTATTTTTAATAGCTGTTGCTATTGCTAAAAAGCTATTGTTCATCGCATTAATATATTGAAATGAAAGAAGTTAATAACTTAGTATTTTAGTAGAAATTTTAGAATAAATTTGAATGAAATTTTTTAAGAAATATATATAAATAATAAAGGAAAATTTGAAAACTGGGATTTGGTCGCGTTACAAATAGCGATAATTACATATTGATTTAATACAGAATTTAGGAAAAATCATTAGAAAAACAAAATGATTATACCGGTTTGCAACAGGATGCTCATTAAAATAGCTTTAAAATTAGTAGACAAATTCATTTTTAATAAAAAAAATTCAACCGCCTCCCAAATTTTTATAAACAATTTTGTAATGAAATGATTTATATGGAACACTACGCTGTATATATAGAACGCTAACTTTGTAATTTGGCTACGCCAGCAGTTTTGGCAACTTTAGCGAATAGATGATGTAATGTAATATTTAAATGTAATTATTGTTCTCAGACTGACGCTAACAACGCCGTGTCCACGGACATTGTGATGGCTCAGTACCGTAAGCTGAATATCTCCTCGACCCTCATGGACGACATCGAGCAGGCCGTTATGCAGTGCCATGCGTTCACCGTGAGTCACATATAGTCTCTGCCTACACACGAACTATGAGTTTATGGGGGCCTTTTACTATTAAGAATATTCTATTTTATTTCTATGAACTTTGAATTTTCGGCCTTTCCTGATTATATATTTATGCTATAACTTATTGTCCTGTCTTTTTAAAGCCAAAATATCTTATTTAAGTTCCAATTTTTTCATCTAGAATTGAAATAGATCTGATTTATCAAAGAGACCTTTGACTCTGAGCAAACGAGAACCGAGAATTTGTTCCAACTGCTACGTAAACATATTGATACACCCACGAGAGGGTCGGACGATAGAGATAACTATTTTTTTTGGATTAATAAAATTGGCCAGGATTTCTGCAATTATAAAAATTACCATCAAAATGTGTTTCATTAAAGACAGCTATAAAATCATTGACTTTTTATTGATTATATTACGAATTTCCAAAAATAAATGAGAGATTGCAAGCCTAATGCATAATTTATTAATTGAACTCGCATTTATTGCATGATTGCTTGCTTTTAGCAAATTATTTGCAGATTAACAAATTTCAATGCATTTAATAACCCAAATCCGTGTGTTTATTTTTAGGACTGCTTGCCTCTGGAAGGCCGCAAGAACTTACCTGTGCCTGCTGACGTCATCAAAACCAAGGCATTCCTGGAGTGTGAAAAATATCTGCGATATTGGGCGTGCCTTAAGAACGATTTAAAGGTGAAAGTCTCGAAAGGGGCGTTCGACTTCAAGGGCTTGGATGGTAGTTTGAATTACCTCAAGAATGATGAATCAAGGGCTGCGGCCATCTTGTTGGCGGAAGAAGCTGTGGGTCCGGATAACTATAACTTGTACGAGTGAAATCAGTTCAATTTGTAAAACATACATAACAGTTGGTCTGATGAACACCAGTCTTAAAAATGAATTTATTGTTTAGCACAATATAATAATATGACCATCTAAATTTAAACGTAGAAAAATGCCTCAATATTTGTGAACTCAACCGACACAAAATCGATGAAAATTTCAATTGAGTAACTTGTTCGCATAGAGATTGGCAACGTCAACTGAATGATATAGGATCCTGTATCTTCTTGCGTCTGGCATGAAGAAAGCACGAAGAAATTGATATCGCTCTAACCTGCTCTGTAGAACAAATTAAAATGAAATGAAAGGCTGTAGTTGTTTCATTGAAGTCGAGAAAATTGATGTTTTTCCTAAGTTCTAATAAACGAAAAAATCCCGATGTAACCACAAGAAAAGTAATTGTACATACACTCTACGCTCTCAAATTTAAAATATTTTATGTGTTTAGTAACGAAGTGTTGAGTTACCATAGCTAATATTCGGTCAATGTTTCATATGAATTTCAAACCTGTTTTGGTAGAGAATCCGTCACACGTGCACTGCAGATTGACAAGCTCGTGAGGTATTTTTTACATTCTATTTTAATCGCACTCAGCGTCACAGGTTTAAAAACCGAGCTGTATTCCGAGGTGCCCTGCATGGCTCTTGATTGCGAAATGTACAGACCGTTCGAAGGCTTCCCATTTTTACCACGTCCTTACAGTTTGTCTTTATTCTTCAAGTCTTTACTGGTTTAGTTACCGCTGACCGAGCGACATTGAGACCTTAATTACTTCACAAAATTCTATCACTGACCATTAGTGAGGAGGCCTTCAATATTCAAAAGTTAATACGTGAGAAAATTAACTGCGGCTGATAGATTAGTCACGGTCGGCGTTTACAGGCAGACTCAATCAGTCGATTGAAAATAAACTGAAGATATAACCGAAAAGGAACTTAACATCAGGAATAGTGCAGAATTTTCCAATCCAAATCAGGCTTTCTTAATTAATAATTTTAATGGAAATACCCTGGTTTATCACATAGCAAGTCTGAATTTGAATTAATGCTTTAATTATTATCGTGTACGATTCTATAAAAATATATTAGGAAAAATTTCTGTGGAAAAATTTAATGGTTTGCCCTAGTTTGGATTATGAATATGTCTCTGCAAATTTTATTTAATACTCTTTGAAAAGCTACAAATCATATAAATTTATTTAGTAAAATCTTTAATTTATTGAAACAAGTCAGTTATAATTGTGAAAAAGAATGACCGAATAAATTGTTCACTGTTAGAGGAATATTCGAAAGTAAAGACCGGCGTTACAATTTTTCTTCCGCACTGAGTGATGAAATATTGAATTATTAATTATAAATATTGTAATGATGGCAGTCAAGGAGAATAAAAAAGAACTATCAAAACATGAATAAAATATGCAATTATGAAATCATTATAGCCGCATCAATGAAGAATACCAACAAGATGCCGGGAGATATGGTTTTAATTTCAACTATATTTTTACTTTAAATTATTTGAAATTAATCATAAGTTTACTCATTTACTGGTTTTGATGGTATAGTTACATGGAGAGAGAGATGATAAAAACTAGTCAGATAGCCTTTAAAATATATTGTTTTAATATCAGAGAAAATGCCTTGAATGCGGGTGTTGAGAATGAGGATTGTTTTATACCAAGCGCAATCAATTTACGTGACTCACTTCAAATGTCAGCTTCAAATGCCGCTTGCTGAGTCCAGAATTATTAGCATTGAAAATTGTACGCAGGTTGCGTATATACAGTATAGGCGGTCAGAGAATCGTATGCCCTACAATCTATAAAGCGACCCAAGCTTAGGACAGGGACACCGCACCAACAGGCCGGGACACCGCACCAACAGGCCGGGACACCACACCAACAGGCCGGGACACCGCACCAACAGGTTAACACCGCACCAACAGGCCGGGACACCGCACCAACAGGTTGACACCGCACCAACAGGCCGGGACACCGCACCAACAGGCCGAGCCGGGACACCGCACCAACAGGGTAACACCGCACCAACAGGCCGGGACACCGCACCAACAGGTTAACAGCGCACTGCTCGGGACATCACACCAACAGGTAAACAAACACCAAATCCTGCATGGCAATCCAAGTTAGGATTGATCAACATTAAAGGCACTGTGGTATCTTATTCGTTACGAAGGATTTGAAAACGCGACTTTTCGTACATGTTTATTAAAATCGTTTTCTGCGAAACAAACAAAACCATGGTGAACATAAGTAAAAATTAGTATTGCACATGTGGTAACTAAGCTAAGTAAAACACTTTATTTCGACTATGAACACATTCATCTTAAAATCGCAGGTAAATATTCAGTGCACGATTCCTAATTAAAATACGTACCAAATATTTCCCTCAGCCAGGTAAGTCGAGAGCCAGCATCGAACTGAATCATAACCGTTAATTAAAATCGACTATAGCTTTGCAGCGCATGACACACACGCGCCAGGCGGACAATATATTTGACGAAGTACCGTAAGAACTTAAAACTTAACAGGCACCCTAAAGATAAGGTTTCTTGCCACCGGTAGCTTAATTTAAACTCTGATGAGCAGCATATTATTTTTTAATACTTCGGACTGGTCACGAATATACCCAGAGAAACTATCCCCTATGTATTTCTTGAAATTACTTCGCGACAGAAGTTCAAAAATAGCGGGGAGTAGAAAACGTTCAGAAAATTGAATTCACAACAAAGCAGAAGCCTTGCATGCTGTGAAGTCACAAATATTTGCGTAAGGCGTCATTTAATTAATGTGAGATTCTTTTCGACTTCGAACTGATATGCAAATTTGTGCAACTTGTCTTTGAGAGAACTGAAAGTTGAAGATGAATGAGGTTTTAATGTGAGAAATTAATGCCAGAGCGATGCGATGGCGGCCAAAGATTATTTTGAGAAACTTATTGTTTTGCCTTATTCCATGCACAGAATGTAATAATGTCGAGCGCGACAAATGGTCATATAATTCAAATATTTTTTGGCGAAAAGTTATCGGTATTTGCCTCCGAGGGTGCGTCTCTCAAAGAACCCTGAGCTTTGAAGGTGAAAGGCCTTGTTTATGTGTCGGTTTGCTTAGCTAAAGTGGAAAAGGACAGGTAGTAATAGTTTGACATGGTGAGAAAATTTCTTCACTCCGACTTGTTTAGTCATTATTGAAGTGACGTTAATTTCATTGATTACAGCGCAACTGACGTGAATTTATTCAAATGAAATGTAACTAAAAATATACCCCAATAGATGTAATATTTCATAACTGATAAAATTAAATAGCGTTTTTCGTGCAGGAAAGAAAGGCTTCATCAAATACAATGCTTACAGAAATACGCCCTCCGCAGCGCCGCCAGCTATACCATACACATCGGAACAGCTCAGTGACAGGACAGCAGCTTGTAACTTAGTTGTAAGGATGACAGTTGCGCTGCCGAAGCCAGTGAAAGTGGTTGTGCTTGTGTCAGCTCCGAGCATCTCGTCTCTGTGAACAGCGTTCATTCTGAGATCGTGTGGTCCCCAGACGTTAAGTGTATTCGCGACATGTAATGCTTTCACAAACAGTAAATAATGACAAGCGTTACACAAAAAGTTTCGTCTACTAAGTGGGGATTATGCTGGTTCGTTCTCCGTTGTGGATAAATCGAGGCGATAATCACTGCGATAATTGAAGTCAACTGCGACATACCCGGTAATTAACAGGTGAGATACTAGGAGATTAAGTCCTAATCCACTTGAGCTGATAACTACTTGTCCTGCAAGGGTTCTGCCCCACACGACTACCGTGATGAATGTGGTCCACGACCCTGGTGGTAATGTGATGAATGTTTTAGACTGCTACTCGAATGAAAATCATTTTCTTATAGTTATATTCATCAATAGCTAATCCGTACTTTTGTATATAGCTTTATTATGAATGTGGATTACAGTGGACGTTCAACCGCAAGTTGGAGAGCTTCATCGTGCTGAATCTGTGAACGAATTCTACAAGCGCTGTGAAACTAAGTAGAATATGGAAGTCAATTGCCAACTTTTGTAAACTAACTAGCCACATCGGTGCTGAAATTGCATACCTGATCCGATGCAGTAAATCGTCATCGTTTCGAACCTCTTTTGCTTAGCCTTATGAAGATTTTTAAGAAAATGAAAAATTAACGGTCTTTTCATACGCATAACATAGACTATAACTGCTGTATCCTTTGATTAATGGCTACGTTACTTATCTCGTATAATACCAGTCACATGTCTCGGTATCGTAATTTCATTCTTGAGAGTCGAAGTTCCCGGAAAGTTTAACATGTTTCCCGTTGCTGGAACTGCCACAAAATATTGCCCGGCTCGCATCGCCTGGCTGTTCTATAATGGAAGAAACAAGATTAACTGCATGGCCGTAGTTTTGGATGTCGGCGCTCCCGAGATGTTCTTTTTGACTGTTTCCTGTTGGCACGAGATTCTCTGGTGCTTAACCAAGTTAACCCAGTTTGAGACAAGTTATTTTCTGTCAATTCTCGTTTATTAGTTACGTCCACTCCTCTTTTCCATCGGTAGCGACTGCTGAATAAAAATTTGAACAGTTGCGCAATGTTCCTCGATGGCTTCGATTCAAGCTGAAATTACATAAAAATATAGATTTTAAGTGTAATTTTGGCACTTCATTGTCTAAACCTGACAATTAATTAGATTGAATCTCATCTTAAACTAAACGATTAATTTCACGTGCAAACTGTTGTGTGCGGTTGACAGCATTTAGTTTCATCACACTTCGTTGCCGGGATAGATAATTCCCGGGAAAGCTACCCAAATACCGTTAATTCGAATCCCGTCATCCCTGTTATTACGTGAAACTTGTTCAACATTTGTCCGATTTTTGCCCGAATTTAGCAAGAACATTGGCCGAACATTGTACGAACTTTGTCTGAGCAAATTTTGTCCTAGCGAACTTTCCCCGAAAAAACTTGTTTCAATTTTTTTTGCAACTATGTCCGAACTTTATCCGAAATTTGCTTAAAACCTAGGATGGATAATACATATGATTTGATAATAGCGTTATCCAGACAGGACGAATTCCGTTATACTGAATCTCGGTGTCATCATGAATTATTTTCCTACTAAAAATAAGTTTTCTGGTCCACATAACATCCAGCCGCGCTCTAATACTAATCTTATATGTCTTTGCAGTGCCAGTGTTCAAACACACGCAGGTACACCAACTTCAACAGATTTTTCACAAACTTATCCATAACGTATTTGTGTCTTTGCGTATGTTTGAAG